GTAACCCCAACAGTTACTCTATGGGTTTACTTGGAAAAGGATTGATGTGAGGACTTTGGTAAAATTGTCCAGGTCAAAAACATCATCTCCCTCTCTTTGCTTCCCTTTGTCCAATCAGGCTTTATTTTAGAATTTTTTTTTCCCCCTCTCTTCATCTGGTTCCTCACTGGAGGACTCTCCAGCAGGAGTGATACTATTCTATGCACAGACATTGCTAAGTCCTCAGCTCATAACACCCACAAGCACTCTTAAAATCAATAGAGTACTGACTTACCTACCTGGTGTCTTCCTTCCATGTAGATTCTAGGAGTTACTGAACATCAGCTGGAGGTAACTGCAGCTCAGTGGTGTTTGATGATATCACATTGGGACTTATGTAGGTCTCATAGACAGGCTCATTTCTCTCTGATTTATCATCTTTTCTCTCTATTGTTAAAAGCTAAATTCATAAAAAGGCCAAGTCATGACTCTCATAAAAAATATAAAATGAACACATCAAAGATTTTATGTAACTCATGAATTAATGAGGTAACCAGTTAGATGTTACAACCAGTTCAAAAGTCAATTCAAAGAGCAGAGACATATAGACCATGAAATAATTTTACAGATTGAAGTAAAACTGACTCTTAATTTTTTTTTAATGTTAAGTTTTTTACTATAGTGTGTACATATTCATCAGAGAAGAGAGAGACAGAGAAAGGGAAAGTAAGAAATCACCATACAGGGGCGAAGGTCACACTGCAATTCCTTTTCTATTCTCCTCTTGGGACTTTGGGTATACACCCACATGTACCTGGCATGTTTTTCCAAGTCCGGGACTTGAACCATGGTTGGCTATGTGGAATCCAGCTGCTTTAACCACCACACCACCTGATAACCCCAACTGACTCTTTTTCTACAAGGTTGGAGGACCTGGGGATAGAGAAGAGAAATACAATGTCTCTCCATCAGATGGAGTTTATTTGTATGCTTATAAACAAGAGTTACTTGCTGTTCTACCAGTTATCCGTAACTCGCTGAATGCTGAAACAGCTCCAAAGACCAAGAAAAGAGCAAAACTTAGATTAAAAAGCTAGTAGTTTGTAAACTTTTGGGATAAAGAGCCAGATAGTAAATATTTTAGAATTTAAAGAGTCACATATGGTTTCTATCACTGTTCATCTTGTTTTTGTTTGTTTTCCCTTTTTTTTTTTTTGGAGAGGTTTTCACTATAGGGCGCGTGCGCTCACCAGATAGACAGAGAGAGACATAGAGACAAAAAGCGAGAAATCACCCCCCCCAGGGGGGATGGCCACGCCGCAATCCCTTCTCCTCCATTCTCCTCTCAGGATCTTGGGCACGCATGCACATGTGCCCGGTGTGAGTTTTAAGCCACCGGGTCCAGGACGCGAACCGCGGTTGACTACATGGGAGTCCAGCAACATAGCCATTACGTTAACTGCTGGTTCCCTCTTTTCCCTTTTAAAAATAGAAAAAAAAAAGTAATCTTAGCTCAAAGGCTGTACAGTAGGATGTGGACTAGAGTCACCCCAAAATATTTTTGGCCACTTCAGTCTCACAAATTTCTCTAGTGTATCAGGGTCCATATATAGGTTTAGTATAAAATAATTCTCTTAAGATAATAATTTGGGGTCAGTCAGTGGTATAGTGGTGGGGACTGCTGGATCCCATATGGCTGACTGCAGGGTTGAATCCTGGACCAGCAGCTTGAAAAATATGTCAGGTATGTGCTCAAAATCCCAAAAAGAGGGAGAGATGGAAAAGGGAATGTAGCCTAACCATCTCCCATGGGAAGTACTTCTTACTAGCTTTCCCTCTCTCTCTTTTTCTCTCTTTCTGTTTCTCTCCAGTGAGCATGTTTAACTTCTGGCAGATTAAACAAACAATATATTAAAAAAGAAAAGATACTAATTTGGTCAAAGCCTTCTATGTCTTAAACAACTTCAATAGATGATTGCAGAATTAATTAAATGCAGATTTCTCAGACCTTCATTCAGAGTGCCCATTGTCCACTTAACAGTTGTGCATGTATTCCCCAGTGTCTCCTCATATGTGAACCACTTTCTCTTAAATGTGAATCATCTTCTCACAAACATTTTTCTCATGTTTCAATAATTATTCTGAATTCTACCCCCCATTAAAAAATCCCACTCTTGGGCCAGCAGATGGAGTAGTGGTTGCATTGCTGAACACCCACATGGCTGATTGCAGTTTGAATCCTGGACCCAGTGGCTTGAAACTCACACCAGACACATGTGTGTGCTTGCTTGAGATCATGGGAGGAGAGTGGAGGAGAAGGGATGATTGTAGTGTGACCCTCTTCCCTAGGGGGGAGGGGGTGTGATTTTTCACTTTCCTTCTCACTGCCTCTGTCTGTCTGTCTGTCTCTCTCTCTCTGGCAAGCAAATGTGCCCTAAGGCAAAAACTTCTACCAAAAAATAAATAAATGAAAAATAAAATCTCATCCTTCTTTTTAAAAGGCTTATTTCAAAAGTGATCTATTAAAAAAAAAGTCATATATTCAAAAAAAGTCCTTCCCAATCTTTATCCCAGGTAGATTTTCTTTCTTGAGCCTTCTTCATATTGACATTATTACTCATATTGGCCACATGAATATTCATTTTATTAATTCATCTTTACCTATACTATTTTCCTTTCAATACTCAGTTATTTTCTCACTACCTAATCTGTTCTTTCAGATTAGGTACTGAATATTTTCACTGAATTATATCACTTGTTTCTTAATAATTTTTAATTTGCTAAAATACACTTTTTTTTTTACTTACTTATTGTGATAAATGACAAGTGTTTGTTCTCTCTGTGTCATCAGCCAGACTGGTATCTATTAGAAATCCCTAATATTTTGGGGACCAGCAGTTAGCGTAATGGCTATGTCACTGGACTCCCATGTAGTCGACCGCGATTCAAGTCCCAGACCCAGTGGCTTAAAGTCACGCTGGGCGCGTGTGCGTGCGCACCCAAGATCCCGAGAGGAGAATGGAGGAGAAAGGATTGCAGCATGGCCACCCTCCTGGAGAGTGATTTCTCACTTTGTGTCTCTCTCTCTGTCTTTCTGGTGAGCGCACGTGCCCTATAGCAAAAAACCGCTGAAAAAAAAAAAAAAGAAATTCCTAACATTTGTATTCAATATCTATTGCTGCATGCCAAATTGCCCTAAAATTTATTACCTTAAAATAAAATAAAAAACCCCCACACATTTATTATCTGATGGCTTCTGTGTATGAGATGTTTAGTTTGGATCAGCTGGATTTTTGGCTCTTAGTCCTTTAAGATGCTGCAATGAAAACGACGCTGGGGCTGCCATGACCTCAAAGTTCACGAGAGGAAAGATCCAAGTTCACTCACATGATTTTTGGCAGGATCCTCTTTTTTTGAAGGTGTTGGATCGAAGGCCTAATTTTTCACTGGTTTTGTCAGAGACCTCCCTCTGCTCCTTGCTGCCCACACAGCACACAAGATAACTCACAATAAAGAGGGTGACATCCTCAGAATGAGGGAATGAGAAGAACCAGATGGAATGAGCAACAGAAAAAGAGAGATATAGAAGGAGAGAGAGGCAAAGAGATAAAGTTACAGAGAGAAGAGTCAGCAAGGCAGAAGTAAAGTCCTCTCTAACCTGGGACTAGAAGTGGCATTCTATATGTTACGTCTGCAGTATTCTGTGTGTTAGAGGTGTTTAAAGAAAGAAAATTGATCATGATATTTATTAAGATGTTAAGGCAGGGGCCAGCGGGTAGCATGGGTGGTTAAATACACTGGACTCCCACAGGGCCAACAGTGTTTCAAGTCCTGGACCTGGTGGCTTGCTTTCTCATTTTCCCACTCTCTCGCTTTGTCTCTGTTTCTCTTGGTCAAATTTAAATAATAATTATAATGATGGTGAATAAAACTAAATAAAATAATTTTAAAAAAGATGATAAGGCAAACTTTATTCAGGACCATCACCATAGATATAGGGACCTCTGCAGAGGGGTTAGGGTTAGGGTTAGGGTTGCAGCTGTGAGAAGAAATTAGGCTAATCTCTTGATTTACAAGGAAAGGAGAGAATTTATAACCAAGAATGAAGGAAGGGGTGCTTGGTGGACAGGAAATTACTGAGGAAATACCAGGGGTAAGTGGGGATTTGAGTTAATCCACCCTAATTGGTTTCTTGCTAAAGGCAGGCCAGGGTGGTCAGACATCCTTTGGGAGTTTCTAGGATGAGAAATTTGATCATATCTTGAGGGTGATCAGATAAAGGTAGCAGATTACGCCTAAAACAATCTGACAGGATTGTTGCTAAAACCAAAGAATGCAAAGGATGCAAGTCTAGGCCTCTTTAAGAAGAAGATTTAGAAGAGCCTGACTGACATTTTATTGAGAGAAACTCTTTGTCGGAGGCAAGTCATTAGGTCTAATCTGTGGTCCAAGAGTGGATTATACTAGAAGGCGGGACCATAGGCCATTTTGAGTCTGCCGGCTACTATTTTCTGTACTTCAATTCTCTCACCCCTCAGATGATGTTAATAACATTACATCTACAAAACTCAGATAATTAGAAAATTTAAAAAGTGACTGGAGGCCAGGTATGTGATGCAGCCATAACACAATGCTCTGAGACGCTGAGTCACATGGAAAGATCCCAGGTTTGTGTCTGTGCTCTCCCAACTAGGTGGACACAGTTAGCCCATGATCTGGGCTAACTGAGGCTGGGGGTGAATCTCAATTTGAAGATCCTGTTTTGGGTGACTTTTTCTTTCTCATGGAGAAAATAAATAATGAACTTTAAAAACACTATCATAAATTTAAAATGTTGTGAAATGTGAGAAGCATTCTCTAAATATAGGAAGACCATGGGAAACCTTCCCCTGTCACATAGGAAAATTGCCAGACTGATTATGTTTATAGGAAAAGTTGGAAGTAATCTTCAACCAAAAGGAATGTTTACTGAAAATGTTAATGATTACATCTGACTATGCATTTTCCTCTCTATTATGCAGACCCAGCTTTTGAAAATTCAGACCTTTTTCTCTTGTCTCCTGCAACAAACATTCTTGAATCTGAAAAGAGCCTGCAGGGAGAGTCATCTTACCACAAAAGAAGTTCTTAGGCATCCACAAATGCCTTTACTTTTGGAAGATATTTTCACAGAAATCCTGAAAGAGATTGTTTACCCTGCTTATATATGTATGAGAGCCTTGAGAAATCATCTTTAAAATGTCTGGTTAATCCAGTTTAATCACTATTGTTTTGATTCTTATTACTGCAAAAATGATTGCCCCTGCACGATGTCATTGCTCCAGTAGATGGCAGAAGTATACTATGTACCAAATTGTAGTAAGTTTGAAAACTTGTACACTGAAGGCATGAACAAATGGTCTCAACCTGTTTTAAAAATCTGCCTTTGTTGTGTTTGGGACACCGTGGATGTAAAGGGAATTGTAGCATTCCATCACAGATACCTCTGATTCTGACAGGTTTTGCTGATATTCTGCAGAATAAAAAAATAATTCAGAAGAGCCAGTGATCTCAGGCAGAATTGTCATGCCTGTATGCTAATCTTGTAGTCAACTCAATCAGACTCTTGCTTTGTTTTATTTTAATAAAGCAAACTGAATACAATAAAAAAATCATTTTAATTAAAAGAAAGGCATATGGCATTTTATAATTATCAGCCATGAAGATCGGTTATTTAGATAGTGGTGTTCTACAGTGAGAGTTAAAAGACATAGAAAGATATATGACATTTCCATTCAATTGCTATTTTTCAGTTATGCAATATCAGTATTTTCAAAGAAAGTACATGCTATCTTACGTAACATTAACTCAGAAAGCACATGTATTAATAATTCTATTGCTATTCTTGCCTGTTTATGTTCTTGTTAATTTGGCAATACTGTAATTTAAACCAAGGACATTATGTAGTGCTGTGATTATACCTGCTGAGAAATAAGGATGGTGAAATTTATATTCATGCAAAATAAACACAAATTAAGGAAAACTCAGATAATTTTTCTTGACATCGATGCCATAGGCGAAGGATATATACAACCAAAATCAGCAAGATAAACTCTAAAAAATTTATATTTCATTACAGAAAATGAGGTGTATTATTATTTGAAAAAAAAAAAAGAAGAAAAACAAAAAAGGATAGAGAGCCAGCTGGTTTCATGGTGGCTAAGGCAGCTGGATCCCACAAGGATGAGTGAGCAGTTAAGAGTCCTGGTGACTTGAAAAACAGGGCATGTGTGTATGTGTGCCCCAAACCTAAAAGGGAGGTTTGAGAAGGAGTTATGGCATGGCCATCCCCCTCTCCCTAGGGGTCCTTTCTTACATTATTTCCTTCTATCTCTCTCTGGCAATTGCATGTGTCTTGTAGCTAACTAAAAGAAAAAGAGGGAGGATACCCATAGTACTCACTGATAGTAAAAATGAAAAGCAGGTGAAAAGCAAGCTGCTCACACTAGTATAAAGCATGTAGGACTGTCAATAGAAAGGAAAGAGGACAAAAGTAAGGGGAGCTAAACAGTGAGAAAGAAGGTTTGGAATTATGTCCTGTGTAAAAAGAGTATCTTTTAGATATTCCCAGAACAGTCCAGGACTTAGGGAGTCATGGAAAAAATATGTAAAAAGCAAATATGGACCCAACCATGATGGCTGATGTGCTAGCACATTGCTGTGCTATGCCAGAGCCACATGGAAGGCCTGGGTTCAGTTCCCAGACCAGTCTGAATATATGGGGCCTGGAGACACATGACTGACTGTCCTAGCTAACTGGGAGAGTGGAGCAAGGCTGTGGTGACATGACAAGACTCTGTCAAAAATATTTCTCCCCCTCAAATAATAAACAAGTAAACAAAGTATTTTCAAACAAAAAAGCAAATCTGGTTCACATTACAAATCAAATACAGCTACAAAGAGGATACTGTGTCTTGTGAATTTATGACATCTTGATCTTTTTTCATTTTGTTACTCTCTCTCTCTCTCTCTCTATATATATATATATATATATATATCCTCTTATAATTATTAAGAGTAGATTTTTAACAATGAAAAAGAAGTTAGGTGATTAAAAAAAATAAGGGAAATAAGGGTTAGTAAGCCTATGTTCTATTCTACAGTATTCTGGAGAAGATAACAAAACCTCAGGTAAGATTAAATGACACGAGCTAGAAATGTAGGTCAAAACTTAACATATAAAAATGAAAAATCAGATGAGAAGGATGTGGGATTAGGCTACATAAATAGTTCTGAGACATTAGCCATCAATATCTGGAAATTGCTTGTTTCCCTGGAAGTGTGTATGAAAGAATAAAGGGGCAGGAGGTAGGAGGAATAAAGTTAAGGGAACAAGAACATTATTTGAGAGGACTTCAAGAAGCTCATGGAAAATGGATTTAAAGTATAAATTCATTTGGGTGCAAAAAAAGGTTTGAAATCTATGCATAGTTTTTTCATAATATGCATTTTTCATGAACTTTTCCAAGACCCCCATGTATTAAAGCAATTCAGAAGACAGAAATTGGAGGCAATAGCAATCATTAGTTTCCAAATACACTTTTTGAAATCATTGTTGGATTGTACTTTGGATCAATTCTAAGTATCTGACATCTGAGAGAAACACCCACACTGTTTGAAACCACTCTCCAGTATCTCTCTACAGTCAAATCTGAAAGAAATAACTTTTTTTTAACCTTCTGATGATTCAAGTAAAATGATTACAGACTATTCACACAGTTACTTTGTACTAACAAATTTTATCTTCAAAAGTTTAGGAGGTTTTTTCCATCCTTTTCATTGAATAAGATAATCTCTCAGTTGATATTACTTAAATTGGGTCAGAAGATAAATCTTGCAAAAAATAAAAAGGGAAGAGCATCACTTTTATTTAGGCTCTGATATAATTTATTATACTTGCAACTATACATTAAAGGAAGAAAGATGAAACCCAAACTTGTAAATGCATGTTCATATAATGATCAAGAAACACAAACAGCCACCATTTATCTGATGATCTTGGAGAGAAAAGTAGTACCCAAATAATGAAGATAATTCTATGAAGGTGGGGACCAGCAGATGGTATAATGGTTACATCGCTGGACACCCACACGTCTGACTGTGATTTGAGTTCCGGTCCAGCTGCTTAAAACTCAAGTTGGGCTCTTGTGCTTGCATGCCCCAAGTTCCCAAAGGTGACTAGGGGAGAGGGGATTGTGGCATGGTCATCCCCAATGGGAGGTGATTTCTAGCTTTCTGTCTCTCTGTCTTTCTGGTGAGTACACGTGCCCTATAGCAAAAAACAAACAAACAAAACAAAAAAAGAAACAAACAAAAAAACTCTCAAAAACAAAAAGACTCTATGAAGGTGAGGTGAACTGAAAAGAAGGTTTTAGCAAGTAAAACTAATCAGCACTGACAAGCAATCAAGATGTGTTGTCAAATCTTCATTTCCTTTTGATATTTTCTTTTTAAGTTCATTTGTTTCTCTCTTCCTTCAGATAGCAAGGCAGAGAGAGAGAGAGACAGCACCCCCAACAAGTTCTTGACACCAAGATCCACTCCAGCTTCAGCCAGTCCGAGATCATGGACATGTAGCCGCAGAGTAAACTCAGGGGGGTCTCCAGATGCAAAACAAAGCTTTCCCACATGGGTCAGCTTCACAGAACATTGCATTTGACCACAGCACCACCATTTGACCTAAAATCTTCACATCCTTTTGCTCTTATTAATTACACTGTATTGTTAGCACCTGCGCTCTTACCTGTCTCTCCCACCTGTCTGTAAACTCATTAAGGACAAGTCCAAAGTATGGTTCTGAGACCAACAGCATCTACACTACCTAGACAATGGTTAGAAGTGCAAATCTGTGGGCATTTTACACCAGTCTAATCAGAGAATCTGAGGGTGGGGCCCAACGATCTGCTTTAAGATTTAAGGGGTTCTCTTAGTGATTTTGATACTCACATATGACTTTAAAAATCACCAGTGGTGGTGGGACCAACAAGTGGCATAGTGGTTACATTGCTGTACTCCCATGTAGTTGACCACAGTTCAAGTTCCAGATCCAGCAGCTTAAAACTTATGCCAGGGGCATATGCATGCATGCCTAAAACCTCAAAAGGAGATCAGACAAGAAAGGATTGCAATGTAGCCATCCCCCTGGGGAGGGGATGATTTCTTGCTTTCTGTCTCTCTGTTTCACTTTCTGTCTCTTTGTCTCACTCTGTCTCTCCAGCAAATACACACAACTTATAGCAAAAATTTCTCTCTAAAATAAAAAAAAAAAAGATTGGTCATGCCACAGTCCCTTTTCCTCCAGTCTCCTTTTGGGATTTGGACACACATGCACATGTGCCCAGCATTAGTTTTAAGCTGCCAAGTCTGGGACTCAAACCATGATTGACTATGTGGGATTCCAGTGATGTAACCATTATACCATCTGCTAACCCTGCAAAAATCTCTCTTAAGAAGAAAAAAAAGAAAATAAAAAGAAAATCATCAGTGGTGAGTCACATTCAGACAACAAACATAATATCTAGTACAGTGGAAAGTCAACAAGGAAAAATTAAGCCTGTGGAAAAACCTATCTTCTGCTGTATTCAGCAAAATTTTTATAAAATCTCCCATTGCTCAGATTCACCTTGGTTATTTAAAAATCTCTGTGGATCAGGATCAGCAGATGGTGTAGTGGTTATGTCAGTTGTCTCCCACATGACTAATCATAGTTCGAGTCCTGGACCTGGTGACTAGAAGCTCCTGCCGGGCATGTGTGTATACATACCTAAGATCCCAGGAGGAGAACAGACGGGGTGACTCATTCCTTTCCCTCTTACTATGTCTGTCCATCTCTCTCCAGTGAGTGCATATACCCCAAGGCAAAACCTCTACAAAAAAAAAAATTCTATAGACTGAAGAGTGGATACATAAACATCATAGATACAGCAAAAATCTGGAAAGAAAAAAAAATCAGCATTTCCTCTGGACAAAGAGAAGGAAACAATCAGATACCTCAAGGATTAGTGCCAAAATAGATATGCATTTTAACTAATATAGAAGAGAAAGCCTGATAAACTCCACTTCAAAACCAGGCATTTTGAGATAATAAAATGCCTAGTCAAATGAGTTTGTCTTAAAAGATGTCTACAGTGGATAGAAAAATGCCAGCAGAATTTTACTATAAGCCCATGTAAGATAATGTATTAAGCAAAAAGTAATCCAAATCCCATTTCCAATCTAATTGGGTCTGAGCTATCAGCAAAACTCAGGAAACAGTCAGAGAGGACTTTGTAGATTGACAATCCCTAAAGGCATCCATGTAATGTGCTCATTTTAACCGTTGCCTTTAAACAGAAAGTCTTCCAAAACACCACCCAGGAAAAGTATCCAGGCATGTAGACTCTGGTCAAAAACTAATTCCTGAGCTGCTTAAATCAATCTCACAGCTCATCTAGTCTCACTCTAATTTCCTAGCCACAAACCTCTGTGTTCATTTCCCTTTATGATTCTGCTTCGGATCTCTGATCTGACACCCTAAGCTATCTCCAGCTAAAACTGTGCCCATCTGCCCACTACAAAGCCACACCAGTGAATCTCCTAGTTTCTTATTCTGGTTTGACATAGCCGTTACTAGTTTCCTAGTCAAGG